TAACAAGTTTTAGTTCATGAATCCTATCGTTTCTGCCATTGTATTATCTTTTATAGCATTCAGAAGCGGCTGTTCCGACACAATCAACATAAATATTGAGAGTATGTTGAAGATTTTGATTCAGGACAAGATCAGGAATGCGTGACTGGAAAGTTTTTTGGGGTTTGCTGTTAGGCTGGTGTGTGTGTTGATCAATATTCAGCAATACAATTGTTTTGAATGTGAATGTTTTATTTGATTTTTCATGTGTAAAGTTTCTTTGGAAACTGTTTAATGAATCTTTGAGCCCTTAGATACGTAAATTTAAGTATGTCCGAAATTATGAATAAGTAATTCGTGACTAATTTATTCCAGGTAAATCCAGTAAATGTATTATCAATTATTTGAATATTATCCGTATTGAATCCGTTGTCAGGATAATAAACATCTACGCTCTGAACTTAGGACCACATCATTAAACTTTAATGTCTGAACCGACGCTCGCGCCCTTGTATTAAGCCCCGTCAACGTCCAACCTCCCGTGATGTATGCCTGATTCTGAAACAGTTCTCTGCGCCAGGCAACCGTTCTCAGCGTAGCTAGAAATTAAGTTTTTCGAGTACACCTCAAACAATATCCAGCGATTCAACCATTCATACTAAATAAAATTCATACTATTTTGACCAGAAATATATATTTTCCGCTTCAAATTATTTTTCTATATATTCATGCTGGAGTCTTGCAAATGAATATATAGAAACGATATTATAAAATAAATGAACGAACCCTTCAGTCCTTGCTGCATTTTAACCTGCCACTTAATTCACATTCACAAGTCGAACTATGTTAGCTCTCCAGGCTTAGCTGGAAAATATGAAACAACTCCGTTCTTTGAAGGGAGGAGGTAGTTAAAAGGTTCCACTAAATACATCAGTGTATATAAAAGAGGATGCCAACTAGCAATGTAGTTGCATGGAGAGACTTCTTGGCTCCCCAAACGAACGGAATATTTATAACTACAAAGCGTTGCAGTATGACTTTAAAAATTTTTCTCATGTGTATTTGTCGTATAGTCATGTTATACATTTATGTTTGATGTTTTTTTTAAGGAATAATTTATGTTTTTTTTGGTAACCCTATATTAGTCTACGGTAATTAATCATCACATTTCAATTACTCAAACGCCGATCTTAGAAAAATGTTCAAGTGCAGGAGATAGTAAAAGGAATGTTATGCTGTTATTAGGCGTCAGTATATACCCATTCGAATCCAGATTCCGTTCAGGGGCACCGGTAGTTCGCCATAGGCACCTTTGAGGTAAATCAGACGCCAATCGGCCGCAAATCATATTCGGCTACAAATTAGAAGCCGTTTTCGGGAGTCACATGCCATAACCAAATAAAAATTAAGGACGGAGCATCTATGATTATAGATGGCGATGGTATATTATACGTGGTGTAACGGTGGGTGACCACATCTGCCAAAAATCGACAGTGAAACCAATAAATCGCGAGGGTGGTGAGTATAGATGATCATCGATGATTAATTGGTCTGAATCATTGATAGCGAATTGCAGGCAAATCTCTTGTAAGCCACCGATAACCGGTTTCCCATACTGCGCTGTGCTCTTAAGAATTTGCCACTGCAATTTATCCTCTGTCGAAAGAAGTAATTGGGTTGCGGGTCATTCGATATCAAAACGAAACCATGATTTCGTTCCGTGTGGTTGGCTTGTGAGATTTGATTCAAGTAAATTGAGCGAAAAATTAGCGTGAATTTGTATGTAAGATTATAACTGACGGACAGAAGCAAGGAGTTCACAAAATTTTCAATCCAAAGTAAAGTTACTGCATGGGCATGTATCAGACTGCTCCTGATATAAAGTATCATACTGCGCCTGACAATGGAAAATTTTTTGCAAAAAAATATAGTTTTCCAACAAAGGATGGCGAATCCAATATTTCATGTTCACCTGATATGTTGCGTACATTTGTTTCGAATTTTGAGTATGCGCTAACTTGGTGTGTTCTAAATATTGCGATCAATTGAAAGTATTTTATTTTATCAATAAGTATAAACCTTATGGAGCGATTAAGTCCGTTTAATAATATTTATAACATTCTCAAGTTGAAGCATTTTTCTAGGCCACGTTTAGTCGCAGACGTAGTCAACAGCGGCTCGGCTTCTCTAAAGCGCAGTGGGGGCGCAGCCGTGGATCAAAAATATAACCCATAAGAAAGCCCAAGCACCAACGCCTATCCCCATAATGCAATAAATATGCTCAGCCTCACACCCAAGAATCTATAGGTAACTGAATCGTCTCACCAAACCGGCTTCAAGTCACAACTGCCTCACTCCACAACCTGCTGCGTCAAGTAGCTAGTTGGCAACAGGTACTACTCCACAAAATTTTACCCCATAATATCACTTCTCACAAGTGCCGTAAGCCTTATTGTCAAGTGCCGTAAATCAGCAAGTGCCGTAAACGAACTCTGCCCTTTACAGGACTGGCGTAACCGCGCTTTACTTCAGAGGCAGAAGCGCATCTGGCCAAACCTATTCCGCTATGCCCCGTCTCTCCCCCTTTCGCAGACAGAAGGCTTGTGGCGCATCACTGATCAGATACCTAGAAAAGCCTTTTGGCTGCGAAAGGGGAGAGACGGGGCATGCCGGAATAGGTTTGGCCAGATGCGCTTCTGCCTGTGAAGGCAGAAGCGCTTTTCAATTCCCTATTCAGTGCGCTCATCCCAAGTCCCGCATAAACTTTAAAGGGGAGCGTCTGACCAAAATTTTTAAACTTGAGCTTTTATGTTTTTTAGTCTCATCTTAAAGCTGACATTCTGCTCTATCCAACGGTACCAAAACCATTTTTGTACGTTGATTTATGCGTTTAGGAAAGATCACGAAAGGGGGGAGGGTGGGTGGAGATCTTTATCAAATTGGATAGGAGTTACTTCGGTTCATAACACTTTAAATACGTTGCCTGCTTGAGGAGCAGCTTAGTAATCCTCCTGGCTTCACACGAGGAGGTGTGCATGCAGTCGCTCCCACCATCCTTGAGTGGAATCAAGCTCCAGTAACGTTTAGTTTCGTATCCTGGCTACATTGAGTGCCTATTGCAGGCACTCAGTCCCGCAATGCGCGCAGGACTTTGTCGGGCTGTACTGAACATTCACACTTATTGTCACGGCAAACCTATTTCCTCCTAGAGTTTTAAAGCTACAACAATGAGACATATACCATTCGATTCGCAAGTAAAATATTCATCGATTAATCTTGGCATTTTTTCAATTTCGTTATATTTTTGAAAATATTTTGAAAAAAGGGGGAGAAATAGGGGAAAATAAAAAAAATTCAAAAATTGTGCGAAAAATACTCCTCCATCCACCAAAATTCGAATATCGAAAAACGCCAAGTTAAATCGATAGATATGCTCTTTACGCATCGAATGATATGTGTCTCAATGTTATAGCTTGAAAATCCTAGGCGGAGATAGATTTCTACAGTACCCCCTTTTTTAGTCGTTTTCTAAGAATTTCACGTTTTCTTTCATTTTTCGAAAAATGGACAGGAATAAAAGCTGTCTATTTTTCGGTTTTACAATGGTGTACCAAATTTCAAAGTGATCCATCTGTAAATAGCCGAGAAAAAAAAGTGGCCAGACGCTCCCCTTAAGATGGACTGGAAAACGGTGCGCTAGATACCATGCTATTGCTGCCTATATGTCGTGAATTCAATCCGTAGGAAATGAAGTCAAATCGATAAAAAGTCCCACAACGTTGAATATATATTTTCATTCGCCTCAATTGAAATTATTGTTATTTTATATCGAATTTAGGACGCATGTAAGTAAATGGCCGTCCCGTCATATTATTGACAAGGTTATTAATGAAAATAAGGCTAATGGTGAAAAAATCTACAAACTTACTCAGCCCTCGCTAAACAATTAAATTTTATGGACACATACGTTAGCCAAAAAATGAACTTTAATAAAGAGGAGAAAAAATGCTAAAATTATATTCCTTTATTTTAAAAGCTGCCCATAAGTCATATGTGAACGTAACTGAGGTCAGTTCTTACAATATTTAGCAAAAATATAGTCATTTTGTAGTTACGCTTAGGAGAATAAATAAAAACTTCTATAACAATAAAGTCACATATATAAACCCCTGCATGTTAAAAATATTTTACGAAATTCAAGCGATTCAAAAAGCTAGTTTTATTTTGATATAGAATTTTCTAATGATGTTTTCTTAATTCATTCGCGGTGTCTGCGTAACTTTCGTTACGGTATTGGGCCAGAAGCTATTCACTCATGATAGATTAAATTAAAGGTAATCCTGTGAACTGAACGCTAGAATGATAGGCGTTATGCATTCTGACACGGTCATTTATTTCCTGAATTTCGAACTGTCCTCTGAGGCCACATTTTCTTTCGCACAAACTTCCAAACGACCAAAAAGTGGCTTCTACAACAATTTTATTATATATTATAGGATTATATATTATTTATATTATCAGGATTATGTATTATTAGTAAAAGATATGAGATAACGAGTCGCAACGCGTTTTGCGCGGCAATATTGGGAATTTCTTCAATAAAACCTACAGTATTGTTCACTCTGCCTACACGACCTTAAAAACCACACCAGAAATGATTATATTTTCCTGCCTGACTCAGTATTTGATTTTTGCATTTGTAAATGAAAAATAGCCATCCACTTATCCTTGATTTTACAAGAATTTCTCGCCATACACCTAGGCTTGAACATGAAGCTCATAATCAAATGCACTACGTACGTAAAATGCACTAAATGATTTACTAACGGCCTACTTGATTAGTCCATACTACCCTAACAAAATTTAAAGGCGTGCGCGACCAAATCGGCTCAATCGTCAATAAGTGTTCAATTCTGATGTCGAGAACGTGAAATGACATGAAGTGGCGTCAGTTGCACCTCAGCGTTCGTCGAAGGTAGTTGTGTATTAATTGCCTGTTCGGCAGCGCACATGACTTGACTGAGTTGCGTGATTGCTCGTTCTGTTCCATAGCCAATTAGTATCGAGCGGGTAAAAAATGCAGTGTCTACCTGTGTCGCTCAAGGTGAGCTCTTTGTCTTACTATTATTAGCAGTTATTACGAGTAGTAGTAATAAACTTATACTCACACTTATTGTAAATAAACTTAGTACTAAAATCTTAGTAGTATTAGTAAAGAACTTCCCGAATGTCAACGCCATTTGATTCCAAACTTCCAAAAATTTCTTAGTACTTTAGTATCACTTCCCAGACTTTCCGAGTATTTAAGTAGCATTGCCTTAACTTTAACTTAGCACTTCCCAGAGTTTCTTGGCACTTAAATAACAGTAGCCCTTTACAGAGTTTCTAAGTAGTATTTTCATTTAAAAATTAGTGCATTTCTTTGAATTATTAGCTCTAAGACTCTCAATTTTACACTTTCGCGAAGGTAAACTTCGTAGGAATGAATCTCAACCTTAAATTCCGTTTGGTGTTCTAAAATGCTGCAAATAATTGCCTGTAAATGCATTCTCAGCCTGCGGTATTTCGAACAATAAAAAAATTTCACAACGGCTTCATTGAACTTTATTTTGCTTAATTTATAGCAGTGTTGACATTAAAATAAGTATCTATTTTAATATCCACAAAGAAAATATCCATTTAGATTAAAATATCTAGTAAGAAGTTGTGTGTTTTATGTATTTTTTATTAGCCATGTCCATTTCCGTAAAACGGTAATTAATTGTGCTTATTTCTTTAATTGCAAGGCCGCAAAGGGAAACTTTTTTCTTTTCTCTATTACACGCTGAATTCAATGCAACTTTTGATGTCGTAAAATAATTGTAGAAATGGAATCTGACATTGAATAAAAATTATAATGCCGTTAAATTCTAATTTTAACTCTTAATATAAGAAAACAGAATGCGTTTACCCATTCCATGGTCAACGTTTTTCTGTTACAGATCCAGATGAGAGTTTTTGGTCTGTACCTTCTCCTCGTGGTGGGTGAGTTTTTATAACTAACCCATTATTTGTTAGGGTGCATTAAACTAAATTGTAAGTGAGCATAATAAAAATCAATCGGAGCACACATTAAAAATCATTAATGGGATTTTGAAAATTTAAACAATGCTATATATTCGAGAAGAGTTTAAACGCTAGTTTTCGGAAATGATAAAAACACAAAATGATTTGCACACTTATAATATATATAGAACTTTATCTGATCATGTTGATATGAATTTGTTGACAAGGAAATTCTAATAATTACTTTTATAAGATATGTGATATAATTTTCGAGCAATAGATAAATTTTGGGATCTTATCGATCAAAAATGATCCAGACACCAATAAACCTTACACGTTGACGTTAAGTAGTAGTTTTGAATTACTCTTTCTTCGAACAATTTTTTACTCCTGGCAGCGGGGGCTGGCAGCACTTATGCGCAGTGGGACCTCTTGGAGAAGAACTATTTAAACGGCGATCGGGGGCAGATGTGAGTAAACAAACATTAGCTAATTTTTTCAAAGGCGTACGGTAACAATTAATAGAAAGATGTAATAAAATCACTTGCATGCAGTACATTCATCCGAGTGAAGTGGCTTTCTGTTTCAGTAACGGAATCATGCTATAAGGTAATAAAAGAGTGTTCGAGGAACACGCAGTTCTGTAGTATTGGGCAGCGATCTGCATCACTAAGCAACAACTGGAACGCTGTTGCTGGTCAAGGCCAGCGCTTGACCCGAAGCGAGGAGGTCACTCGTATCCATGATACTTGAATGTAAACTTCACGCGTTGTCTGGGCCCCGCCCAATTCCCCTCTACCCATTGACCCTTACTGTACTATAGCTACATGCCCCTGTTACTACAACTGAAATTAATGAACGCGACTTAGTATCTATTTTTATCATGACGAAGATTCGTGATATACAATGCCTGATAACTTTCTGTAAATGAAAAGCTATCAGAATATACAGATTCTGTACATTCTGCTATTATGTATATTTATATACATAATATCAGAAACACAGAACTTTATGGCATCAAACTATTTTCAACTTTCCTAAGCAAACAAAACTTGGCATGTCTTAATTTTGTTGTTTTATTATTATTTTTGATAGTATCTTTATGAGTAGATATTATGTCATAAATATACAAATGAGTAACAGTCCTTTAAATGTAGCGTACCAGTAAGACCACAAACATGGGCATTTTTTTATAAAAACAATGATAACAAAAACACTATCAAGCGCTTATGTTAGTAAAATATAAAGATTCCGTTTTTTGATAGCAGCCAAATTTGATCATTGTCTTGAGTCAAGGTTACTGAATTTCCTTAGGTTTCCTTAAAAATGAAAATCTATAATAAAGCTAATGGAACAATAATTTGTGCTGAAATGTGCCTCATTAACAATGATGGTTGGTTGTGAGACAATTCAGAGCCAGTACCAAAACTACGCAGTTTTAAAGTTGAAATTGTTTGGAATTTTGAGACAAAATTAACAAATTATTACCTAAACTAAGTCTTTTCGTGTAGTTTTGATGACATTCATATGACTGGACTTTTCTCAAAACCGCTGTAAAAACGGTTTCGGGGGCGTTGCAGTGGCCGGACACATATCGTTATTTTAAATGCGAGAAATGGTTTGCGGTAGAAAACGGTACTCCATTCTTGTATTTATCAAGACTTTCCTCAGCAAGTTCATACTTTATAATAAACTTTTGTCAAAAGGCATGATTTGAATTTCGAAGTGAATCAGCGTATTTGATTGTACGTGGAGATCCTCACAAAATGTCAGCCAGCAATTTTGTAGATAAATTACTGAAAAATTCTAACTTAGCTTTGAGATCGCCGCGTCAACGTTAAATTTCGGCTGCAAATGTCGCGGATGAGAAAATCCGGTCGAATATCAAACAATTACGACATTTCGCTCAGGACTTCTATTAAATTTTTAAAGCCAATATTTTGTCATTGCGATTTCAAAGCGGTTTCAGCGGCACAATATCAACGATGAAACAACGATACACGAGTAAAATAATTTCATGTGAATTTAACATAAACACGACGTAGCATGATTCAACACGATTAAATTTTCAATTAGTTCTTGAACTTTCGTTCTGAATTAGTATTTAGTACAGTTTTAAGGTCGTGAACGGATGTTGTTTCGAAATTTTCCAATCAGTCAAAGCACTCTAGGATGTGTTAGGTTGTATGATACGGACTGAAATTCGCATGGACTTTTTTGGTCAGGCTGCATATCTTCACATGTGAAGAAGCAGTTACTGAAGAAAGCGAGCGTAAGGTACCATCATGTAACTTTAATGTTTGTTTCCCGTTCTCAAATTTTTGCAGTAAATTTAATTCATAATTTGGGGGGCTTTATCTCTCTAACCCAATCGTTTTAATTAACACGGGACTTTTCATATCGAATCTCTGCCGTATATCTGGGATGACTATAACAATTATGCAACAACAAAATTAGCCAGACAATCTCATGCCCGCAGGATGCCCCGAATCCTAAAAACGGATTCGTACGCCACATACAACGCCTCCTTCAAGGACCTGCTGGCGCGCGGCAACTTGAGCTTCCTGTCTCCGAACGATGTGAACGGCCTGCCGAAGACCTTGTGGAGCAAGTATGATGTAAGCGCCGCCTGTATGGAATAATTAAGTAAAGACTTCCTAACTGAATTTTGAACTTCTATTTCGTCGGATTCTAAAGAGTCAAACAATATAATTGGAAGCACTAAAATTGATAATAACATAATGTTTCTACATGGTTGTCGAATACATGACCATCGCTGTTCAAACAAGACAAGCAACGCAGCATTTACATTCTGAACAACTGCTGTTACAGAGGCATGCCAATCTTGAGTAGGGGGTACTGGTTTATTTGAATTTACATGGGTACCGAATTCATTTGTCTGTTTTTTTCTGCAAAATGTCGCGAAATTCATGAAGAGTATGTATGTCTCTTCAGAGATATTAAAACTGTCCGCTAATCAAATTAATCCCGCACTCGATCGAGCGTGCATGTTTTGAGATATATATAGATTCAACTGCTATTGTAGTGCGAAAGCTCATTTAATTCATTGTAGTTTGTAGCTAAGGTAGCTACCTAAATTTATCCTGTGAAAAAACGTGAGGTTAATCTTCCATCGTTGACAATTAAACATGGCTGTTTCTGTGTCATTCGATTGCCCTTGTGCAAATTTTTATTTGGAACTGTGGACTCGCTCATCAGAATTATTTGCGTCGAACTAGGACTCAACCTAATTAGGTCGGGGAGTAATTATTGCAAGTGACGAGGTTGGAAAACTGTTGAAGTGATCGAAGTGCAGACGCAAACACGCGTGAAGATATAATATGAGGGGTGTGGTTCTATGGAGAGTAACGTAATAAATTTTTCCTTCTTGATAAATATCAGGATGATGACAATATCATCCTGATTTATGTCAATATCATCTTACTCCTGTCATATCATCCCATCCTAATATTATCATCATCCTGATTTGGACAATATCATCCTGATGTTGGTTATGAAGGAAAAATTTATTTTCCCTCCACTTTGTTTCCCATATATCCACCCTCCTCGTACAGGTATTGTCAATATCATTCAAAAATTGGTATTGACCGTGCCAACTTGAAACAATACATGGGTTCCCATACGTCTAACATTCATTAGGTACAGAGTCTGCGGAAGATTTTTCCTGAATCTGTTACGTACATATTTCTATCACTATTACATCATTTTCAGCGTATCTGCGTCGATATTCTCCCCAATCAACTTGTTCTTTAAATACCATCCAAACATCGAACAATTTTAAAGCTCGATCCCTACGGATGCAATTTTTGACTTGCATCCGTAGGTATATAATATACACCGAGCATCACGGTGTATAATATACACCGTGACAGCAGAAATTTTAATCCGCCACTTCAATAATAGTTCATCTAAGACATTAAACATGTATTAATAACAATTCATTTTGCTTCCTTTTGGTAAATACTTCGTTTCTTTACATGTTCCTTCGCAGGTTTAAAAATTTCATAAGTTCCATGAAAATTTCTCTTAACTGTACACGATATAATCACTCAGGCGTTTTCCCTGCTCACGCTGAGGGACAACGTACGGGACTTGGTGACGCCGTATTTGTCGCAGCGCGTCAGGGATGAGATGGACGTCCTGAGGAGAGTCAACGTCACCCAGGCCCAGGCCATCGACAGGCTCAAGAGCTTGCTTGTGGACGTTAACGTGAGTAGTTCAACTTGATTTCAATATCTTCGCAGCCGAGCCGCACAAATTTAATGGTGCAAGTGTTTGAGAATAAAATTGTCGTCCATAGGAGTGAGGTAAGAATTCCCGAAACATTGTATCATGTCCCACCACCTTCTACAGAAGTTTTACCTTTACTATAAACCGTCAAAACTTATTCTAAACAAAAAGGCTTCTAAATAACCAACTGAGCACAGTGATAACTAAGTAAAGATGCTTCTTTACTTATTAAAAAATTAATAGTTACAAAAATATATACTTGTATTCCAATTTTTGGTAAATAACTTTAAACAATATTACAGTGTTCAAATTTAATATCTTCAGTATTTACATTTGATTCAAAACTTGTTTCTGATTCAGAACTTACTTGAATTAGAACTTACCTTCTGATTCATTTTATCATGGATAAAATAATGTTTGAACTCATTCGGATGATCATAAAATGAATGTGATGCATATGCCGAAAGAACAGCTGAGAATTTCAAAGTAAAGAAAACCCTAGTAAATTCATTATATCATCTAACGTTTAGGAGCCATTAATAATTCGAAAAGTTATGTACATATTTATACCGAAAAAGTTGCCAAGGATTATAAAATCCTCAAAGATAGACAATTCCAGTTGGATATGAACTATAAACTTTTTAATGCACGTTTTACGTCCGAAAATGAGTATGGATTGTAAAATCTTTGAATCCAAAGCACCGGAGGCACTGTCAGGGTATCGATGAGGCTGAACGGCATCAGGCAAATCGGTGGGTAATGATGGACGCATCACACAATAATTTTAACGGAATATAAACGAATATACAACTTAACTTAGGAACAAAGCAAGATCCGTTGAGGAGTGCAGAAAACCGACGGGAGAATCCTAGACGACTGGAGGTATGGCAAAGAATAATAGTTTGTTCCAAAACAGGCACGTCGGTTGGAAGTGATTATGCTGTTGAAGCTGCTGGGGGACTCACGGGAGTGGGCGGAGGTGAACATCACCGACCTGAAGCCTATCCTCTTCTATTTGCCCATCGACTTGCTGACCAACCTTCGTGACGAGCGTTCCGTTGCCAGACTGTAAGTGCTTGCTTGGACAAAGTCAGCTAAAAATTTATTGTAACTAATCTAATGTCAGTTTAATACTATTCGCTAAGTAGGTTAGGTTAGAACGTGATCAGATAATTTTCTTGTACAAGTATGCCAACGAAGCCTGATGTTTTAGGAGAGTAAATTGTCTTCAAAGTCAGAGGCGCAAATACCGATACAAATTTTTAATGATTGATTTTTATTCGAAACTATCATTCACTACAGATACGAAGAAGTGAAACTCTGTATGAACAATACGGGCAACAAGTCAGCCTCGTGCCCGAGTCAGGCCGAGTCTAGGGGCGAGGGGACAACACCGCGCGCCCAGTACATGCTGTCGCTGCGGGCGTGGCTCATCGAGAAGACCTACGGCGACCCCAGGAACTGGGACCGCGACACCTTCGCCAAGATGACCAACCTCAGTATCCTGCCCGACGCTGTCTTCCTTCGCCTCCGTCCTGACGTCCTACTGACACGCAAGGATGAGATCTTATCTGTGAGTCAAGTTATCGACATTGTCCGACATTTGGTCCGAATATGATATCTAAAGGTATAGAAGTCCTCGATATTTTGGTATAAATACATGTTCTTGACTTGACGAAGAAATATTCACGGCAATTTGTTATTCGGAGGATGAATCATTAGACCATTGGATAATCTCAGATGTTTACAATGACAAAATTATCTGAATATACCGATCGGCAGAAGGCCGAAAGTATCAGGAGCTAAAAGATGCGCGCCTTCATGTATGTCAAAATGCCAAAGTATTGCTAAGTGATTTAGTCGAAGAAAATTATTATAAATAATACAAATGAATGTGTACTGCAGTCTAAGGAGAAGGGTGGCTGGGCGCTCAAGGTGCAAGCCCTGGGCCGCAACTTCGTGGAAAAAGTCTTAAAAGTCGAGAACGTTCGCCGCGACGATTTCAACCCACGTCCGCTCGTCTCGCAGCAAGAAATCGAGAGAGTACGTAAACATCATTGCATCCGTCTGTAGCAACCGAAATTTTAGCTTTTTAACGATAAAATGACACTGGGAAACAGTTAATTTTTTTCTTTCCCTACTTTTGCACTTGCATGACACAAATTCATAAGGTTTTTATCTAGTTTGTACAACCTCGTTGAGGTTCTACAAAGAAATCGATAATTGCAATACCTTCGCTGTAAAATCCTACATCAGCTATAGAAATAAGCGTCCACATTGGTGCGGATAGCTTCTGTACAATTATTTATTCCAACTAATTCAGAATATCTATCTTTCAAAACCGACAGGCCACATCAGGCCTACACTTCAGCGCCGAGATCACTATGATCACTATGTTAAAACGATTGTCTCTACATCTAACAGATCAAGGCTGTTATCAGCCCGCTGCGCACTGCAGGTCTGATGCAGTTCGTGTACGCCACAGACCTGCCCAATGAGGTGCTCGACGCCGACGACAGACGCATCCGCAACGAAACCGACAAGTTCACCGTCACCGCTATACAAGATGGCTCCATCGATGCCTTGGTGAGTCCGTTAAAGTATCTGAGTGTCTTAAACATCGTGGGCGCTTTATTTCAGTGCCTTTTTAACGCGACAATTTGTGTGTGTGTGTGTGTGTAATTGCCCATCCTGGTAGTGGCAACTAGGTACGGGAGGTTTCCGGGCACTAATTAGTTTCCGGGTACGGTTTTTCCGGGCACTAATTAATGCCACTGGTAATTCCACGGCCATCACTGGCTCGTTGACCCGTCAAAACCATTTTTGCATTACACAGCACCCAGGACAAGCCAGGTACTCATTTATCAACCAGAGTTCGATGAATGACAGAGCCAGAGTTCGATGACTGGCTGATAAGTCTACCCAGTGTAGACACCCCGAAAAGAAGAAGAAGATGACTGGCTGAATCAGGCTCACCAGGGTGCCCCGATGAATGGCTGAGTTGACTCTCACCACTGCAACACCACAGCTTTTTTTCATATATACAGCACCACCACGCGGCATTTTCATATCTATCGTATTCCCGTTGATTCAATGTCAAATTTGGCTTGGTTCATGACGAACTCTAATATTTCAACATGAAATTTTGTAATTAGTTTGAAATTTCGTTGTTGCAAAATTCATTTAACCAAAGTCCTGGATATGTTAAATATGTGCGATTTAAGCAATTGGCTGAAAACGTACTGCTCATGACTGCACACATTCAAAATCTCTTTCCTTATTTCAACGTAGCACATTAACCTATGAAATTAATTGTGCTAATTTTTCTCAAAAATATCTCAAGGAATAAATTTTGGAACAACAGTTGAACGATAAGTTGCTATTCCAGGTGCTGGAAGCCAATATTCAGAGCTTCGTCTACCCTACGCAGCCTCTCAGCATTGAAAAAATCCGTAACCTGGGTGAGGGATTTTGGCGGAACTGAAGCGAGGTATTCAGATGAATAGTAGGAGTATTTGTATGATAGCCTTTTTTTCTTTACTCCTTGAAACTAGGGTTCTCTGTGATTTGACACGGCCACGAGAGTACACGTGGTTCAAATGAAACACTGCTTGCATTAGAAATTATACTAAGGAACGGATGCACCGGAAATAAAAGTGACTGTAACAATTACCACTGAATCTTCCTCCTCAACATTGTTGGTCAGATGTTCGGCAGGGTGGTTCTTTTTCGCTAGCAGCCCCTCGCCGCTCCTACCTAATCCAAATCCCAATGCGGCTTCGGAGCCGGTCGATCATCGGTGGACATGATTCTGTCCCCGCGCCAGACGCAGGAAAAGTCCTCCCACGAAAATATGCACGGCACGCCCTACTTGAAACAGACGCACGGCAAACGTCTGCTTCAACGGTGTGACCTAATAGGCTTTTCCAGTCAGCAGCGGAGTGAAGCATG